TTTTTCTCTCTCTTGCCTGAATTAATGTAAAATAGCCTACTCATGGCTGACAGACCATTTCATTGTTTCTTGCTTATCACGGAAAGGCTACTGGATGCTGGCTGTGGAATATAGTGTACCCTTTTGGTTTATTTGCCATTCTCGTGGACTAACATTTACCTACAGGTACTTGCAGCCTTGTCTGAAACAATGAAGAAAGGGACCAGCTTTGGTGCCCCTTGTCTTCTAGAGAATGTTTTGGCAGAGATGGTGATCAAAGCAGTTCCAAGCATAGAAATGGTACGATTTGTTAACTCAGGCACAGAAGCATGCATGGGTGTGCTTCGCCTGGCCCGTGCCTACACTGGACGGGAGAAGATTATCAAGTTTGAGGGCTGTTACCATGGCCATGCTGATCCATTCCTTGTCAAAGCAGGTAGTGGTGTTGCAACCCTTGGGCTCCCAGACTCGCCTGGTGTCCCCAAAGCAGCAACCTATGAAACTCTAACAGCCCCCTATAATGACATTGCGGCTGTAGAAAAACTTTTTGAGAACAACAAAGGAGAGATTTGTGGAATAATCCTTGAGCCTGTTGTGGGAAATGCTGGTTTCATCCCCCCGAAACCTGAATTTATTAATGCCATTCGCAGGATCACTGAAGAAAATAATGCTCTTCTAATATTTGATGAAGTTATGACTGGATTCCGTTTGTCATACGGTGGAGCTCAGGAGTATTTTGGCATAACTCCTGATTTAACAACACTAGGGAAGATCATTGGTGGTGGTCTGCCAGTTGGTGCATATGGTGGGAGAAGGGAGATTATGGAGATGGTTGCACCTGCAGGGCCAATGTACCAGGCCGGAACCTTGAGTGGGAATCCCTTGGCTATGACTGCAGGGATACACACACTGAAGCGGTTGCAGAAACCAGGAAGTTACGAATACTTGGATAAAATTACCAGTGAACTTGTTCAGGGCATTATTGATGCTGGAAAGAAAACTGGGCATGCAATTTGTGGAGGCTATATCCGTGGAATGTTTGGGTTTTTCTTTACGGAAGGGCCTGTTTACAACTTTGCTGATGCAAAGAAAAGTGACACAGCAAAGTTCGCCAGATTTTACCAAGGAATGCTGAGGGAGGGTGTATACTTTGCACCATCACAATTTGAAGCTGGGTTTACAAGCTTGGCACATACTGCTGAAGATATCCAAAAGACAATAGCAGCAGCCGAAAGTGTTCTCCGGCAGATTTAAAGCTTTTGTTCCTGTATCTCGCTGTGTGATTGTGGACGTATCTCTCATTTCATGTTCCTCATTTCTATTACATGATTGGCCTTTTTTGTAGATGATGAATAGGTGATTGTTTCTAGTCAGCACCATTGAGTATCAGTAGTTATGTAACTTGGCAAGTCGAGTGTATCATTTCTCTTAATAATAACATGTTTCAACATCTGATGTAGTCGTCTTGGATACGTGCACTTTAATTTTAGCAAATTATCTAACTTGCAGGGCAAAATTTGCCATGTAGTAGGCACTGCAAATCCATCCATAAAGTGTAAATTTGCATCATCATTAACAAAGAAGTATTTCTCTTTGATATATGATAAAGGTTCTTGATTTTACATCAATGGGTGTATACAACTTTCTATTACTGGTACGGATCTTCACCTTTAAAGAACAAACCAAGAAAAAACACAAGAAAGGAACATGGGAAGAAACACATCACCAGCGGACGCTTTTACAAATACACGTGAATATGGCGACAACAAAACACAGGATGCTCAACGAAAACAACTGCTGTACCTAAAGTGTTGTCCCGAGGGTACAATTCCCCAAGTATCTATGTACTTGCCTTCACATTATGGAACATGAGCACGCAATTTGCTTCGGTGAATTATCAATCTTCTTTTCTGTACCAAGAAAGCCACCGAGTATAGTTTAAAATAAGAAGCTTTTAAGCAACAATCTTAAAGAGAAAAAGGGACTCGTGCAATAATTCTATGAGTCTGCATTAAATAGCCTAAGCGTAGAACAAAGGACTCCAAACAAGGAAATCATGACAAGTAAAAAAGAAAATGGATGTAAGGTTTTGGTGTTGCCAAATTTAACTTCAGAGGATACCACCCAAGGGAAAATTTTAAGTATCACCGGTGTTCTGCAATATCAGAATAGGTCCAAGTCAATATTCAAGGCGCTGAATGCTTAAAGGTTTGGACTTGGAGTAAGAAGTTGAGCGACTTGGAGTAAGAAGTTGAGCAAATAAGCATAAAAAAAGTTGCATACAACAGTGCCGAGCCAATGAAAACTCCTTTTTTTTTTAAAAAAGATTGAGCCTTTAGAAATCTGAACACATTCATGTGATTATTACATATTCCTCGAACAGAGAGAACTTCTAATTTGTCCTCTAAAATTGACACCAATCGAATTATTTAATGAAGGGCTACTTTTCTTTGTTCATAACTTGATGGAACCCAAAACCAAATTATTCTGACCATTGGAACAGGAAATATGAAGTTATTCAGCAAAATGAGACCCCCCTACAAAGAATGAACAATTGACCTTTTTGGTATAATCCAATTTAGATCTGTCTAACAATAAACTGGGAACATCTAGTTAAAGTTAACTGTTATTTCTTGGGGCATATCATATCGCCATTGGTTAGATGGACTCAAAAGAAATTAAACTGGTGGAACTCAAGTCTGCAATGAACTTACTTTGACTTTGGCCCAATATAATCGTGTGGATGGTTATAAATCTGGGTCTTCGCCCTTCATACACAAGACTGCCAAGGAAAAATATGGAGACACACTAGAAGCGCAAGGAGAAAACACACATGTGCACACTGAAACATATGCATGAATAGAAGAAAGAAGTCTGTTTATAAGTTCGAGTAGGATCTATGAAGACAGGTACAAATTAAAGGTACCATTTCAAACTTCTATATCTTCCACATTGATATAACTAGATTATCTTTAAAAGTGCTTTTGAAGTCAAGTAACCAGAGGGCAGAAACCTCCAGCAAAACATAAAGACAGTTATCACCATGTGCACATCAGAGTATCTAAAAACAGGGTATCACTGCAGTTAAAATCTCCAAGCTCTCAGCAAGCAAGGGTCACTGCTCTATCAAAATCCAAATCAGGTGTTGAATCATGTCATTCAAAACCATGGGGGTCCATATATAACCATCAAGGAAATCAAAAACACAATTCAGGCAACAAAGAAAAAAGTTGTTATGCTGGATGGATGATTTAAAATAGAAATTACCTGTTTTGGTTTTTGCTAGAGAGGGCTGTACAACAACATGCATTATGATAACTCCCCCGGCCACTTCCCCAAAAGGTGTTCTGCATTGTCCAATAGTCTTGTTGTTGTCCAAAACCTTACCAGAGCTTATCAGCTTGATTTCATTCACTACCTTGGGAGTTATAGTTTTTCCTAAAATAATAATTAAAAAAAATCAGAAAAATGTAACCAAAATAGCACAAAAGAAAATCCCATTGGATGAAAGACATTCCTGTCCTGAAAGTAGATAGGTTTTTTAAACAAGAAGATATCTTTATCTTTCTTAGCTTAGCTGTTAATATTTCTAAATTTGGAATTTGATATATTTGATGACGCTTTGCCTGGAAAAGAAGAAGAATTGGCTGATCAGGTTCACATCGAGAACATCATCCCTTAGGATGTCTTTTGCATTTTAGGAGGGTTTTATTATCTTGTTGATTCTACACATGCTCCCATCCTTACCATCTTAGGTCACATACCCCAGATTGAGCTCAATAACTTCAAATTTACAACACATTCTCCAACTGCAACAGTTCTAGACTGTAACGCAATCACGTGTTCCCGGTCCACACCAAACAGGTGAACCTTAATCAAGCAGCAATACAAGCCAAAACCAAACACTAACAAAAGTCCAGCGAATTTACCATGATTCTTTTCTGATAATAGCCAAACAAAACCTCCTACTCTATGAAGTCAAACCACAAAAGCCACGATGACAAACACAGACAACTTCACAACATTAATAACATCTCTAAACCATCAACTTGTGACAACATTATAAGATAGATTAATACTCAAAACTTTCCACAGCAATGATAAAGCGTAATGAACCGGGTTTACCCATTTTTCAACTGAAGGGTAAAAAATTACCATTTCTATCAAACTATTCGAACCATTTTTTCAACGACTTCCCAACTAAAACCCAAAGCACCCACTTTGAATTTCCCAAACACGGTCCTAAAAGATTCCAACCAAAGCAAATTAACCCAATTTTAGAATAAAATAAATCCTCCCAAATTAGGTAAATTCACTAAAAAGAAATCTCAAATCTTAAAAAAAACCAGACATATAAATATTAAAACAAGTAAAAATTAAAATTGAAAGAAATAGTGATAAAAAGTTAATAAATAAAATAAAACCTCTGGGCCAATCAGAAACAATTCGCTGCTTGAGCATATCAACAGTAGATGTTGATGATGAGCACCGGAAGGGCCCGATATCTGACCCGTCGTAAAGCCTGAACTTTATATCAACCATATCCTCCTCCGGCATTTCCCCTACCTCCTCCAATCAATTACTACCACGTGTAAAACAATCCCCTCTTGATTTCCGCAATCACAAAACACACCTAAGATTCACACACATAATACAAAAAGAAATCAACTAAAAATTAACAGATCTCAAAAAAAAAAGAGAGATTTTTACAGAAATTAAAGTAAATCACACTTTTTTTTTAATTTCGTTGGGTTTCTATTTTTTCTTGAAAAAGATAAAAAAAAGAAGTGATTGGATTAGTAGTGAAGAAGGCGCAGTAGGTGTTTTGTTTATTATTTTGTTGGTGAGCTGAAACATAGAAGATGAAGGAAAGCCAAAATCAAATCTCTCTCTGTTTTTGTTTTCTCCATTTCGCAAATTTGCATCAAAACGACGCTGTTTTCTTTTCTTATTTTCTTTCATTCACAAGACGCGTCGTTTGGTTTTTAAAATGCCGAACACAAGACGACGGGTCGCGTTTTTGATAGCAAGATTGTATGGAGCATGGAGCATTTGACGGTACCGTCATGCAAGTAATCCACTCGAGCAAAACCCTAAAAACCCAAACTAATCGAGGGAGATGAAGAGAAAGAGAGAAGAAAAAGAAGCAGCAGCTGAGAAGAAGATGGAAATTGTGTGGCAAACACCGGCTAATCCTCCTGAGAAACACGATTACATCTTTCGTGACGGTAATTTTATCAAAAGCACACAGCAAAATCAGCTTATTTTGAAGATAGAAACAACAAAAGAACTCTGATTTTGTTTTGTTTTTTTTTTTTTTTCTGGCGGGAATTCGCAGGGAGGCGCCACGTTAGACCTTACTACTTCGAGTTTATCTCCCATGTCAGTCACTTTAACTCGCTCACTCTCTTCTTTGCCGAGCTTTATAAAACTCTAATTATCGTCATTTCGGTATACAGGTAAAAAACCGATGGGCGGGGAAAACGATAGTGGATTTATTTGCGGAAGAATTCAAAGGCAGACCTTATGATTATTATGTAATTATCAACTCATTTTTTTATATTAAATTCCTTTTAATCTTATTTAAAGTTTGGGGATTTTGAGTATTTGTGGAGTAATTAACGTAGGTTGGTGCTGTTAAATGTGGACGGATACAAGTTGATGGAGAGATGGTTCCTGTTTCGTACATTGTTAAATCGTCGCAGAAGATCAGCCATTTTGTGCACAGGTGTGGGCTTTTGCCGTGGTTGATTGCAAGGTTTACTTGGATAGGTTTTAACTTAACTAGAGCTTTTGTTCCCGCATGAGTAAATTTTTAAAATTTGCTCTTGCATAGCTTTTATTTTATTTTTTATTTTTATTTTTTGTTGTATCGAACTTTGAATTGATGTTGCAAAGATTGTAGGCATGAACCGCCGGTGATGGCTTGGGATGTTCCCATTCTTGATAAAGAAGATGATGTCGTAACTGTTTGGAAGCCAGCAACTGTACCTGTGAGTTATCTGTGACTTGGTTTTCCACTATTCATCGGTGATATTGACGTCATTCTATCTGTACTTTGAAGAGAAAAAAGAAAAGAAAAGAAGTTGTTATTCTATCAATGTGCATATTAATATTTCTGATTTTGGTGGGTCCTAGGGTGTACAATATATATTCTTATTGTTTATTGTTCTTAAAGAATTTTATCAGCTCATAGAATATTACTCTTAAGTGCTGATATTAGTTTAGTATGCTGCTTTCTCCTTCTTTCTATCATAATAACATTAGATAATTTTTAATAGGCCTATTTTTCTCCTAAGATGTTAGATTTTTTTAGAGACCTAGATGGTCTATGGCATATTTCCCCATATTTTCGTGTGAAATTAGTCCATAAAACTGTTTGATGATATTTCCTCCATTTTTTTTCTTGTTCCTTATAATTGTTGTACTATTTCTGGTGTGGGAGGCATAAAGGAGAAATTGTTCCTTGCCATATTTAACGATCAATTATGTTACAATTGTCTTTAAAATGTGACAGAAGAACTGGAGACAACCATGCATAATTATATTTGTCTTTCAATCATGTTATGGCATCCATTTCTAAGCTTTCTGTTGGTGGAACCAGTCACCCTTTGGCAAATTATGTTTGATTTTTAATAAGTGTGTAACAGAGCTAATATTAATTTGTGATACTGACTTGAGTATTGTCAATAAAATGATTATATCTCATTTGATTTTCATGTTAGCCTGTGTCACCTAAAAAAATATTTTCATCTGTGTGTTGTTTGTGATGTGAGAGAGTTGAAATTCTCTGCATTACCATCTTCTGATATGGATTAGTCTCTTTTTCTGTGGTGCTAATCATAGATTAATTTCTATTGTTATATAGGTGCATCCTTGTGGTCAGTATCGCAAGAATACTGTTGTTGGCGTTCTCCAGGCAGAACATGGGTTAGCTCCCTTATTTCGTATCCGAACATGATTTACATCTGAAAGCAAGTATTGTAGCCTTTCCATGAGCTTCTTAAAAGTCTTGAATTGAGAAAATTAAATATGTTTTCTTTGTACTTCAATCTGTTTTGTCTGGTTTTCCATTTTATTTTGGATTGTTTCCCTTGACATGGTCATGCCAGCGGTTCATCGGCTAGATCGGCTTGTTTCAGGACTCCTTATCTTGGCCAGAAATGCTACAAGGGCTGACCTTTTTAGGCAAGAGGTATTTTCTGTCTTGTTGTATCTTTATTACAATTATAGGTACCATGCTGCTTTGAATCTGCTGGCATGACATCATATATCTGTACTCGTGTATCTGCTAAGGAATACTCATCTCTCTCTTGTTATCTGATTGTTGCAGATTGAAGCTGGCAAAGTACAGAAACAATATGTTGCAAAGGTCGTTGGGGTATTTCCTGAAGATGAGGTAGTACATGTCTATGGCCCGTGATAAAAAACTACATTCTTATCTGATGATTTTTAGCTAACAAGCTCTAGATGATAGTTTAATCTCAGGGTATTTGAAGAAACAAACTATTAGAAAAAAAATGTTAAATAGTATAGTTTTGTTTTTTCAAGCAAATAGATTGGAAAAATTTTATGATCTTTTTTTGTAAAATAGGTATGAACATGGGATACAAGTGAGAAAATGACTGATTTGCAATTGTTACTCTACCATCTTCTAGGTAGAGATTTGCCGAACCCAGAATCCACGGCATTCAGATGCATATTTATTTATTAACCAGACATACGCCAGCATGCTCGTGTCTTTTTGCAACATATTTGATATGCTGCTGAGAATGCTGTTGTTTCTTATTAAAAGTAAGCCTTTTCATGATAACACTTAAGCTTTCTTATGCATTTTCATTTCAGCAAATTGTTGATGTTAATGTTAATTACAATGCTCGAGAAGGAAGGAGCACTGTAGAGGTGAGGTTTTTTATTCATCTCTTCTATGCTTTAGGGGTGTCACTGTTTATATTAGATCCTATGGATTTCTGGTTTCCCTGTCAACTAAAGGTGTGAATATGCATTTCATGAATTATATTTCCATATGTGCCTGGCATGCTATGGAGTCATTCCTACTTCATTCATTCAAATATTATTTTGAGATTAGAACACATCCCATATTGATGCTTTGTTCATCTTCTGAAGCATCACTTTCTTGAATGGGTACTTTATTTGTGAAGCTGTCATTTACAATTATAATGGATGCAGGTCACTTTACGTGCCCTTATTTTTTAATCACTTGCCTTGGATCTGGAGGGGCTCATATCTGGTGGGAAGGATCATTCTCATAGAGGAGAACTTTTGTTCTAAAATTTTTGGTCTTTCTACATAGGTTTTAACATGGTATGGGTAGTCTTTTTTTATGATAGAGTATAACAGTTCATTTCCATCACCCCCAGGAGTTTCTCGGTGTTCTCTGCTCTGAACCTGGGGCATGGTGCTATATGTCTCTTTGCATAGCTCTAAGTTTGAGAGTGCTTGTGTATGATTCTTGGTGCTATTTTTTTCAGCCATCACTCTTAAACTTTTTGTGAGTGGGCCTCGTGTGTCCACTTGTGCCCTGGTGCATTCTCTATGTTTCTTGCTTTTATTGCATTTGCAAAGTGGCAGCGCTGATGTTTCTTAGTATAAGCATGCATGGTTATTGTGGGTGTTAGTAATATGGTTATTGGCCACGGGAAATGCTAAGCTGTTGGTTTGCGATGCAATTCTTGTGCTTGATATTTATCAGTGAGATTGCGTGAACCCTAATATTAGTTTTGCTATATCTATAGCTTTCTTTAGTGTTTGTAACCAAGCCTCATTTCTTTTCCCACCCTCTTAACATCAAATATAAGGCAGAGGAAATGCCTATATTGAGTTTGTATGCCCTTTTTTTTTTGTCTTTACAGGTGGGTAACTCTTGTGATGGTTCTCCCATCAAGGGAAAGACTGCCTGTACAAAGTTTACAAGGATTGGCACCAATGGCATTCACAGCATTGTATTGTGTAAACCAATCACTGGCCGAACTCATCAAGTAGGAAAATTTTTCTGATCACAGAAACAATATTGGATATATTATGATCTTCTCCTGCTTGGTTCATAGATGCCTCAGATCTCTGTTATCCTAACTTTTTTCGTGCTTGGTTCATAGATTTCTTCTTACCATTTTTTTTTTGATGTTAGAGATGATTGCTTTTCGTCCTTTATTTGCAACCACCATCTTTACAAGAAATCTGTACCATACTTTCCTTTTCTAAAATAACCAAAATATCAATTCTAGCTTAATCAACTAGGTGGGAAGGGTTTTACCCCTGACATTGTCATTTTGCTAAGAGAATTCCCAAATCCCAGTACGTATCTTTAGCCTGTCTTATTATAGATTGTTTGACTTTTTAGCAACATCTCTCACATGATCTCTTTGTGGATGGGAAGAAAACCTAATCCAAGCCTCTGTATTCTAATTGCAGAAAAGGCAGATGAGATTTGTGATCCTTCTGCATTCCTTTGTTTTTGTAGAGTGGACTAGTTACTAAGAATAGCAAGCCAGGTTTGAATTTGAAAAGCAAATTAGTTTCCACTAATCCAGTCTCCAGGCTATAGACCTCGGGGTTTCCCATGCACTTGCAGCACCCAAAACAATTTCACTTTCAGAAACCATGAAACACAATCTCATTTTCATTTGATATGAAATATAGGATACAGGCTTCCAAATAAACCCATCTTTATGCACAAGATCTTCGAACTAGTAGGACTTCTGGAGACTATCTCTGTCGCATAATTTTTCAAACCACGGACTTTGCAGAGGTGGATCATGCATAATGTGCATCCAACACTTCTTGAAGGCAATGCCAAGTAAATCTATAGAAAGTAGATGTATAGTCTCAAATGGTATCACAAGTCACAAGCTCCAATTAATTAACAAATAAGGCTTAACCAAGCCATCCAGAATGAACCAAGTTGAACAAAAGTGAACTAGGTTCATCTCACAACAGAGGCTGGATTCCATGGTACTCAAACCTTTAATGGCATAGCCTGTTCCTTCTTTGCATAGAACTTAGCTCAAACTGGTTTAATCACTTGCCATTTTCCCTTTTTGCCCACCATTGATGCATTTGCTTATGTTTTTGTAATAGCCCAGGTACTATCTTTGGAACAGCAAGCTTGCTGTAAATTACTTTTATGCAAATCTAATCTCTTTCTTTACTGTTTAAGCATTATGTCTGTACTGCATTCACCATAATTTAGGAAGTTTATCAATCCTTTAATTACTTGGTGACTCTGTCTCTTGTAGATCCGTGTCCATTTGCAATACACAGGCCATCCTATAGCCAATGACATTCTTTATCTATCCGAAAATGTTACTAATCGATCTAGTGAAGGAGTGAATGCTGATAGAGCTGCTCACAGTCCAAACAATTGTCTTGTGCCTGAAAATAACAGTTCTGATAAGTATGAAGACAGTACCGAAGAAGATTTTGACATTGATCCTATGTGCACAAACTGTCCAAATTTGGTTCCGAAAGGGTAAGATACTTTTTTTTTATCATGACGATGTGCTTGTTAAACGCTATTAGATTGTACAGAACCCTTTTTTTTCTTAATGTTGCTGGCTATGTTTTCTGATCTATTTGCTTACAATCACAGTATTCAATGCTATATAAAGCATGTTATGTATTAGAGCCACATAGTAAGAAAGCCATACAAGAACTGATATAAGGGTATTTATTTATGGTTTACAAACAAAAGTTCAACAGTGTGTGCCCAGGCATGTGATATCTCCCTGAACTGGTATTCTTTTGCTGCAGAGAAATCTCAATGACTTGAAATCCATTAAAAATCATTTGAAATTTCAAGTTTTGTTGCTGCCAAATTATAGGTCATCGTTTTTTTCTTCAACTGGTTGTCTATCATCCCCTCACTCCAATATCGACAATTCTTTATGGAGAAGCTTCTTCTTCTTCTTCCTCTTTATATTTTTTCCCCCATGGGGGAAAACTTACTACATGTTTTCAGAAACTTCCTAGCTCACGTGGTGTCAATTAAGATGAATGTTTAAACACTGTCACTCGGAGCTGAACTGGCCTTCCAGAAACCATTTTTGTGTCTCTCATTAACCTCTCCCCTTTGGTTTCATGGGGTATCTGTAACTAGTCGAAATTTTTTAGTTTTCATGGTAAATATACATTTCGATATTCTCTAAAACCTCAGCCATATATATATACATATATTGGTGTATCTGTTGTTACTAGGTGTATTGTAAAACTGTGATTAGCTGGTGGTCATGTGAGCTTTACTTTACTGTTTGCAGATACGATGGTCATGAAGAGGGTTTGTGGCTGCATTGTGTGCAATATTCTGGGTCTGGATGGGTTTATAAATGTCCATATCCAGACTGGGCGGTTCTCACCTAGTAAATCTTGATCTTTACTTTTCCTTGCCCTTTTCTTCATCTTCTTCTTTTTTTTTTTGTAATCTACGTTAATTTTTAAATATTCATTGAGAAAAGAAATGTATTTTCACAAACAGGATTTTGACGAGGTTTCACTGTGGCTACTGATGAAAAGATCATGCATCTTCAATGTTTCCTTCCACCGAATTCCGTTTAATGTAGAATTCATGAAAAATAAATGGAACAAAATTATCTGTAACGATCACTGTAAAAAATAATAAAGGATAACTCATGTACAGGACTTGTTTCATGGAAGTTTGAAAATTATACTTGCAAAAAAAGAAAAAGAAAATATAGAACAGAAATAATTTGAAACTATCAATTTTCACAATTGGCTCCTTGAAGTATCAAGGCATTCATCAATTGGGTGGTTTGTGTTTAATGTTTATCGTGTGTTTGAAAGTATATTAAAATTTATTAATTTAAAAATATATCAAAATATTTTTTTTTTAGATTTTTTTATATAAATACATTAAAATTATTGAAAAATATTAAAAATAATGAATTTTTAAACTAAATGTAATTTTAAAATGCACTTAAAATGTAGTTTTAAATGCGAAAACAAACATTGCATAAAAAAATGTGAAGTTTTTGAATGGAGTCCTCATGATTTATAAATGAAAACCACCACAAATAAATATGAAATAAATGGCCAACAGGTAGAGTTAAATCACTATTAGAAGTCGACAAAAATCACTTAAATGGTCACATGATGACACAGACCAGAGTCTTATTCCACCTCTATTCTCATAGAAGTTTGGATCGAATGGTGTAATTCCAAGCCAAGGATTTGAGATCCATTTGTTTTCTGGCATCGTGGCACAACGAGTCTTAACATAGTCTCGGATTTCATCAATCTAGGCAGAAATATCATGAACATAAAGAGATTAATTCGTTCACCAAGTTGATCAGACTAATAACATCGCAAGGTCTCAAAATTTGCCGAGCCCCACCAAGCAAAAAAAAAAAAAAGAAAAAAAAAGAAAAAACTACTTCCTAAAAGAAGAAAAGGGTTAGGGCAAAAGCAACGAAAAAAAAACTTGGCTGAGGAGGCGAGGGCTACCAGCACACCAGCACCTTGAAAATGTGTGGTGGTGTGGTTCTGGACATTAGTAGCTCTGGCTCTCATTAAATTTCTCACACCATAATATTCAATCACATGCCAATTCTTAAAACTTTACCAAAAGCAAGCACTGATCCTAAACTTTATTTAATTACTTATCGAGAGTCTAAGATAGACTGATAGATCACCAATTAAGGTAGGTGTTGCCAACATTGCTAAAACTCAAGCAGCTGGTTACATGTGTATGTGGAGTGGCTACTCCTAGTTTTTCCTAGCTAGCGTTTTTTGCCCTTCTTCTAACCTAAAAAAGAATATATATATGAAAACATTGTTATAAACTTAAGCTATGCTGTTGCTTGAACTATATTGAGAGTTTGAGACACGAATCAATATTTACGTTGATTACTAAATAAACTATACTACAAGATCCTAATATCCTAAAATAGGTTTTTTCTGTGTGTATATATACATATATATAGCGATCAAACCTTTACTTGCCTCTCATCCTAAAATATTATTTGATTTTAGAACAGGGGAAATGACCACTTCATGCAAAATACCAAATTTAGAAAAATACTTCGTAATTGTTTGGAGAACTTTGATAATCGAGCTTTTAATGGACACTAAATTCATATTAAGCATATATTCTTGCAATCAAAAGGATAAAAATATCAAGAAAATGAAAAAAAAAGGGTTCACGAAGCTTTGGAACGTGAAATTGCATTAAAAAGAGAGAGTACCTACGTACTATTTGAATAAGTAAATTATGAAAATTTAAAAAGATAAATAAACATTACTTTTTTTTCCATGTCGTGTCAAATTGCAAGACCATATATATATGGCAGTCAATTTAATTTTTCATATATATATATATATAATTATTTTCTAAGCATATTGTTATTACTACTTTCTTTTTGTTGAGAATCCACACTTGCTATGGTAACTAGTTCTTATAACTAAGCCATGATCTCCATTTGTTTGCCGAGCAACGCTATAGTTAGGGAAAAATCATAAAAAAAATGTGATAGTCACTATTTTCATGCTTCAGAAATTATATATTTAATATATGTGAAATTCCAAACTCAATATCTATCACTCTT